AAACCTAGGTAAATCAACGTTTTAAAAATGATGGTGCCAAAAAAAAATTGCGCAAACTCTTAGTTTTTGAGTTATAACTGTTAGAAATTCAAAAATTCCCAAATATTGCATTTTGAATTTTGAATTTTTTTGTGGTAGACTTATGTATTTTGACTATTTAAAAACGATGGTGCAATCAGAATTTGTCGATCGAATTGAGTTTGAAAGTTATAGCGGTTTTAAGTTAAAAATTTTGGATTTTTAAAGAAAAATTTTTTTTGTTGAACCAAGTCGCCAAGTGAGGTAGTTGCGCCTTACCTGCTCCGGTTATATTTTTCAGATATATAATTTCTCTGAATCCAAATATCGTAATTATAAATGTTTCTGTAATTGGCAAAAAACAACTTTGTTTAATTCCGAGGTTCACCTGAGGTGATTTTACACAACAAATCGGGGGATATTTTTGATTTGCGGAGCGGAGCGACGGCGCCGAGGAGCGTAGCGACGAGTGCCAATACACTCGTGATCTCTGCAACTTTTAACTTTCATAACTTAAAACCGCTATAACTTTCAAACTAAATTCGATCGACAAATTCTGATTGCACCATCGTTTTTAAATAGTCAAAATACATAAGTCCACCACAAAAAAAAAATTCAAAATTTAGGAGTTTTTGAATTTCTAACAGTTATAACTCAAAAACAAAGAGTTTGCGCAATTTTTTTTTGGCACCATCATTTTTAAAACGTTGATTTACCTAGGTTTCGAAAAAAAAATTTGAAAAAATCTCGTGGTAGCTAAACTGCAATTGTTCCAAACATCTTTAATGATACACATAGTATTAATAATACAAATACAGGCAATACTAGGACTTCCGATGAAGATGACCCAGCTCCTGTCATGTATAATGATACCACTCCATCAATAGTAGTAAGCTAATTTAATTATTTAAGATTAATTGAACTGTAATACCTTACAATAAAACGTAAAATTTAATTTAAAAAAAAAATATGGAACAATTGATGGAGTGGTATCATTATACATGACAGGAGCTGGGTCATCTTCATCGGAAGTCCTAGTATTGCCTGTATTTGTATTATTAATACTATGTGTATCATTAAAGATGTTTTGATTAACCTACAATGGTACAAATGTTTAATATAGTACTCAGTTGAGTACATTGTACGTGATAACATTAGTATTTAAATAGTTAAGACTTATTGTAATATTAATGAAAAAAAAATGAATTGCTGAAATTTGAATATTTGATCTGTTACAAAATAGTAAAAGAAGAAACGCAATTAGTGCAGACCTCTTATTTTACTCATATATGTTAGGTAGTACGAGGTACCTATAGCCTATAGGCTATTTAATAACATTAATAAATAGACTGACTTCGGATATTATTGTATATATTAAATTGTAATTACACAGGATTAAAATAATCAGCTATCGATACTGCTGCAGGACGTTTATTAGCTTGAGACATTTTACTTTTACTTTATAGTTACGTACAATTAGTTTATAATAAATTAAAACGAAATATAACACTAAACGAATACGGAGTATACTAGATTTGCTGTTATCATACGTATCATATGTAAATATTGTCATATTCAATGTATACATATTATTCAGCACTATAGTCTATTTATAGCTTGTTTATGATAACATTGTATGTTTTTCGAGTGTTCGCCGTTCGGCCACGGGTGACCTCGGCGGTTGTAGAATGTAAATAAGTAGTAGGTACTAGGTACTATCAATAACAGCCGTAACAATAACCGCAATCTTCGATTATACTGCATACCGTATACGACCTGATAAGTAATATTCAATCCTAAAATATTATTTTTAATTTTAAACCACAGAATTTAAAAATCCAATTTTAAATTTTCAAAAACAATTAATAAAATACTATACCCTTTTCCATTTGTCACCATTCACCGTATACTCAACATTTACCCACCGTATACCTATAAAATGGATATTTTTTTCATGTATACGCATTTCTTTATACATATTGTTATGAGTATACGCTCCAATACACCCCTGGTTGTATTGTAAAATTCTGTACCGTTATCTACCTGTAATAGTTTTGGTGAACGCTTGAGTAGTATTTTTGACATTGCATTTGAAATTTCTTTAGCCGATTTCGATTTTAAAGGTTTAGTAAATTCAAATTTCGTGTAGCAATCTATGACAGTTAAAAAATATTTATAGCCTTTATTTATTTTCGAATATGGTATCATTTCCACCAGGTCGGCTTGCCATAGGTCGTTTTTACCATACACATTAACCCTTCGCCTCTTATATTTTTTTCTGGTGGGTTTGTGTAGTTCGATCGCTATATCACGTTTAGACATTTGGAATACGTTTTATTAAGCCAGCTTCAAACAGTTCTTCGTAAATTGAAAGTATTATTGAATTGGCTGAATAGAAATTAAATTTAAATAAAAATAATTTTATTTATAGACATAATAAACTTATATTGAAGCAAAAAACATGAGGGACATGTGTCCAAGCGAGTAACCAAACAATTACTAAAAGAAACAGTACTTATGATAATAAAACAATAATAATAATAATAATGATAACATTGATAACATACATAATACATTTTGATATTTGATAGTGAGATTACTATAGGAATTCAACACTTCTCTCTAATCTCATACATTAACATAATACAATATAACAACAACCAATAAATACATTAGGTAAGTACACAATTTATTCTAAACCAATATTAGATCTCATTTTATTAAAGACAGGATATGCTAGCGGTTTTGTTAAAAAATCTGCAAGTTGGTTTTCTGATTCCACAAATTTCAACTTCACTTGTTTACTTCAAATAGCTTCATGAATGTAATTGAATTTAACATCTAGGTGTTTCATTCGATGATGTTTCCTCGGCTCCTCTGAAAATTTAATACAAGATTGATTGTCTTCAAATAAACAAGTTGGATCCTTAATGTCCAAAATGCACATTTCTTCCAATAATCCTCTTAACCATATACAATCTTGTACTGCTGATGCTAACGACTGATATTCAGCTTCTGTGGAAGACAAACTGACTGTAGCCTGTTTCCGTGTAACCCAGCATATAGTTGAACCATAAACTTGAAACAAATACCCAGATGTTGATTTTCTATCCGCAACATCATTGGCATAATCTGCATCTACATAACCCTGTAGGATATTTGCATCATTGTTTTGTTTATATATAAGACTCAAATCCAATGTTGCCTTTATGTAACGCAATATTCTTTTCAACTGTTCAAAATGAGCATCTGTAGCTATAGATTGACATCGACTAAAGTAGTTTACTGCTACACTTATGTCTGGTCTTGAATGTAACATGACATACATTAAACAACCAACCAATTCTTTAAATGGTTTTTTAGTAAGTTCACTATTTTGGAAAATTAAGTTCTTTTCAATAGGTGTAGTCTTCGGTTTGCTGTCTGTCATTGAAAATTTGTTTAATAATTTATTTAAATAACCAATCTGATTTATCCTTAAATTACCATTTTCCCGTATTAAATTTATACCAAGAAAGTATGTTGCTTCTCCCTGATCTGACAATTTGAATTCTTTATTTAATGTCTCACTAAGTTCATAAACAGATTATTCAGAGTTACTAGCAATTAAAATATCATCCACATAAATAAGTAAATAAATATAGATATCTTTAATAACTTTTATATATAGACAACTATCAGAAAGACTTCTATGGAAATCCAATTTACAAATAAAATCATTAAATCTTCTATTCCAACAATTTTATGCTTGTTTAAGACCATATATAGACTTGTTTAGTTTACATACTAAGTTGACACCCTGAATGAAACCTTCAGGTTGTTCCATGTATATTTCTTCATCCAAAAAACCATTTAAAAAGGCTGTCTTTACATCTAACTGGAAGAGGAAATAATTCTTATGAATAGAAATTGCCAAAAGTGTTCGAACAATTATTATGTTTGCTACCGGTGCATACGTTTCATTATAATCGAATCCCTTCCTCTGAGAATAGCCCTTAGCAACCAACCTTGCCTTATACTTAATTTGTTCTCCATTTCCATTATGTTTAATCTGAAAAACCCATTTATTATTCACAACTTTCAGGTTTTCAGGTATCTCCACTAATTTCCATGTTTCATTATCCATCAATGATTTAATTTCTTCGTTCATAGCATGTTTCCACAAATGCTTATCATCTCTATCCTCAATATCATCATAAGACTGAGGAACATCATTGACAAAACATTCTGCTGATAAAGCTAAGGCAAAATAAGAGGTGTCATAATCATTCATCCATAATGGTTTTTTTCTGCCTTTTGCCCGTACCCACTTCTGTAACAGTCATAGTATCTAAAGGTTCTGTCTCATTTGAAATGTCTGATTTTGATACAATATTAACCACATTATCATCTGTAATTGGTATAGTAATATCTTTAATGTTGAATATACTATCCTCATCAAATATGATATCCCGAGCCAATATTACCTTTTTACAGATGGGATCCCATAATCTGTAAGCTCTATCAGCATAACCAACCATATAACACCTTTTAGACTTACTATCCATCACGATTTAAGATATACAGGTTGCACAACGACCTATGTTTAATAGCGTCCTGCAGTGACTTTAAAAATGACACTATAAAACAGCTGTCAAGAATAGAGCATTAGCGCTCCCGGTGTCGAAATAAGCAAAACAACTACGATTAAAGATCTTATATTCTTATCTATTATGAAATTTTGCCTCTTTTTTTTTTTTGTCATTTGATTTAGCTTCTGATTTTTTATTTTCTGCTTTATTCATATTATGTCATTTTGTTGTACTTAATTTTAAAAGGTACAATTAAAATAAAACTAATTTCCTTAGATAATAATAACAATTTTCCCTACATGTGGCGACACTGAAATACGATTTTCCCCGCATGGAGCGTTGAGAGTTAATTTTTTTGAAGTATCAGTTCTTGAGTCACAATATTTGTTTTCGTTGTGCAACCTGTATATCTTAAATCGTGCTATCCATTTTGTTTCGAAATTGCTTATGACAATGAACATGAGCCACCGCACCAAATATTCTTAAATTACTTACATTAGGTTTTTCATCAAACCATAACTCGGCAGGAGTGACGTCCTTCATAACTGACGTTGGAGATCTATTGATTAAATATGCTGCCATAAGAACTGCTTCATTCCATAATAATTTTGGTAAACTAGAATCTGCTAACATTGACCTCGCTCGTTCTGTAATGGTACGGTTCATCCTTTCTGAGTGTCCATTTTGTTCAGGAGTGTATGGAATTGTATACTGTAACTTAACACCTTTTTCACTACAAAACTGTTTAAACTGATTAGATGAATACTCACCTCCATTATCACAGCGTAAAACTTGTAAGCTACTTCCATATTTAGCAGTCACTAACGCATAATACTGTTTAAATGTATTTAATACATCACTTTTCTTACTTAAAGGATAAACATGTAGAAAATGAGTAAAATCATCCATAAAAGTAACAAAATACCTTTTACCATTCCATGATTCTGGTGATATTGGGCCACATATGTCACTATGAACCAGAGCCAATGCTTTACTTGCTTGTGTGTCTTTTCCTTGGAATGGCCATCTTGTCTGTTTCCCTTGGATACATCCTACACAACTTCTTAAGAAATTTCTGTTGTCATCTAATTTCAACCCATTGACCATTTTTTCTAACTTAAACATTGATTCACTACCAAGATGACCAAATCTTCTATGGCAAAGCATATTCTGTTCATTGTTACATATACTATATGCATTTAATTTTGTTATAAGTTTAAATTCAACTTCATACAGTTTTCCCCTTTTAAATCCTTTAAATAATAAACCATTTTTACCATAAACTAGCGCTTCATCATGATTCAATTTAATTGATAGTCCACTATTTGTAATTGCACTTGCGGAGAGTAAATTTTTTCTTAAATTTGGTACAAATAAAACATTTTTAATTATAATTTTCTTCTTTGTATTCTCAACAAGAACTTCAATTTGTCCTCTTTTAAATGCCTTTAAATCTTGTCCAGCTTTGGCAACTCCGATGACTATTGGTGAATGTAATTTATCAAATTGTGAAAAATATGCATCAGTATTTACTAAGTGATCACTGGCTCCTGAATCTAAACACCAAGTGATAGTCTCATCTCCATTTTTACTGTCAACTAGAAACGCTACTGCACCTTCATCATCATCAGGATTTTCGACTACAAGTTCAGCCTCAAACAATTTTTTATTACCGCGTTTCTTGCATTTTGGAGACCATTTCTTATGTCCCAATTCTCCACACGCATAACACCTAATCGGTTTTGATGCTTTCACTTCAAATGCTGCCGACTGTTCTTCAATTTGACTTGACGTCCCTAATCGTTTGATTTCTTCATCTAGTAAACGTCTTTTCACAAAATTTACAGTCAATTTATCACTTGATATTGTTTCAATCGATGTTACTACAACATTGTAAGTCTCTGGCATTGATAAAAGTAAATAACATATCACATCATCTTCTTCAAGGTTTCCACCAGCTGCCTTTAAACTTTTTACCGTTTCATCAAATAATAAAAAAAAATCTTGTAAAGATTCATTATCTTTAAATTTTAACAACATCAACTTCTTTCGTAAAAACAACCTACTTGAAATGCCTTTGCGTTCAAAAGTTGACAACAATTTATCAAACTTCTCTAATCTTCTCATAAATCTTTTATCATCATACACACTCAGAGCTTTTTTGTTTTGTTCTACAGTAAAATATCATGTTTCTTAGTTCTAAATAAATGTTGTTTAACATATTTGGATTCTTTTGTTAGTAAATATTTTTCAAAATCATTAAAACATATTTTATTTTCTACAACATTTTTTTTAACACCTTTAGCTTTTTTAATTTCTTTTTCAGTATCTAAGATTCGATGTGAATATAATTTAGATCTTAAACCTATAAATGCAGTCATTATTTTTAAATTTAACTCATCTTTAAACTTGCCTAAAACTTTTTTGTTAACTAAAGGTAAACCATAAATATGTCAAAATGATCTAACATAATTTTCATATCTTGAAAAAAATCATTAGTTTTTATTTCTAATATTAGTGAATCTGTATCTGTATATAACAATCTAACTCTATTTCCATATTTTTTCTTTATAATATTATAATAAAAATCATACATTAACATTTTAGATAAATCTAAAATACACATTCCTACATATACTGGTTGTTTGAAAAATATTTGTGTTCTTTTCATATGTACTGCATCTAAATTTTCTGTAAAAATTGTCCTTCGATCAAAATTTAGTTTTGCAATTAATTTCTCTACTATTGATGCATTAGAACATAATTTTATATCAACATGATTTCGAACATTCATCATAGTACGTCCATAAACACTATTATTCATTAATTTGAAATATTCTTTTTCAAACTCATTCTTAGCTTCTGATCTATAATTGATCAATATTTTCATAATGTTCAATATCGTCTTTAATTATTTTAAGTTTATCTTCATACAATTTAAATTTTTTAACAACATCAATATTTTCATAATATTCAATGTCTTTAATTTTTTTAAGTTTATATTTATACAATTTTAATTTATAATATTTTATAATATTTAATAATTTATAATATTCAATAGTGTCTTTAATTATTTTAAGTTTATCTTCATTAAATTTAATTTTTTAACATCATCAATATTTTCATAATGTTCAATAGCGTCTTTAATTATTTTAAATTTTTTCTCTAACATTAGAGGTAAATCTGATAAATATCTTTCACAAATATGACATTTATCAGATTTATTATAATAATTATTTAATTGTTCTGCATTCAATGTTTTCATAGGAACTATTTTATCATATATTTTAGAAATAAGTTTTTCTTCATTTTTCATACATTCATAAAATACTTGAGCTACGTTTGGACCAGAATATTATACAGGAGGTTTATAATCACCATTACTATATTTAATATAATAACAAAAATGATTAGTTATATGTGTCTGATAACAATTAGTAAAAGACTCTGTATCATTTGGTTGACAAGTATATATTGGTTTAAGAGTACATTCATAGTCAGTAAAAACCATAAAAGGTAGGTACTCTTAAGGAATGATTATAATTTTGAAATTCTAAAGTTTTATCATAGGGTTCTGGTAGAACTATTTTAGCAGCTTTATTATTATTACAATAATGTTTATGTTCATTTAACTTATTTTCTTTATCAAAACTACTTAAACACATTTTACACAAAAATCTTTTATGACCATCTTTTTCAACTTGTCTTCCTATTAGAGTCCATAAATCTTCCTACTACTCTCTCCTACTCTTCCTACCTTCCTACTACTTTCCATAAATTTTTAATCCAACTATAATGTCCTTTATTTATATTATTATCCTCTGTTAAATATAATAAATCTATATGATTAGTTTTTTCGATTTTACTTATATGTAAAGGTACAATTACTTTTTTATCTAAACAATAAATATTAATAGAAATATCTTTTGTTCTTTTAACAAATTTCGGAACGTCTGTAGTTTTTACTGGAAATTCAATATCTTTAAATTCTTTATCAAATTCATTTTTAAAGCGTTTATATTTAGTTACTCTTTGTCCATTTTTTCAACATGGTGTAAAGCAGAGAGTATTTCCCAAAGAAAACATTTATCATCTTTATTATTAACATTTATAATAGCATGTTTATCTCCAATGTGTTTAGGTAATGGAATATATGAAGAACCCTTATAAGGAACATATTTATTTATATTTATTCCCAAACTTAAAATTTGATGAAGTCTCCATTGCGAATCTTTCATTATAAAATCTTCTTCTTCTTTTACAATTTTGATTTTTTCATTTGTATAAAATTAATTTAAGTTAGAATTTTTTGTTACAATTTTATTTTCTGTTTTAAATTTTTTTTCCATATATTCCATATTTCCTTCATCATTACCTCTCTTATATATATCAAAAACCAGATATTTACTTTTAAATTTGTTTTTTTTAATTCTTGTTTAAGTCGTCCTATTACTGGATAATCTAAACGATTTAAAAATGTTTGTATATCTTTAATACCCATATTATTTTTAATAATATAAGTTGTTAATCTACTTTGAAATGCTGTTTCTACAGTTTTAAAAACAAACTCTTTTCTTGGTCTTATACCATTATTTTTATGACGAATAGACTGTAAATGTTTAGACCAACTGTTGTATTTAACTGTTAGCTTACAAATATCACAAGTTTTATCTATTTTTGGTATTCTCTCTTGTCTTGTTCTTACATTTGTTGTTGTTGTACCGCTGTATGTTCGTCTAAATCGAGGTATAATTGTTTGATCTGAATCATTGTTTTGATGACGAATAGATTTCAAATGTCTAGACCAATTTTTGTAACTAACTGTTAAGTTACATTTATCACAAGTTTTGTTATCCATTTTATTATTGTTAACATTTCTTTTAAAATTGATTTGAATTTTTTTATCTTCCATTCTTTATTATATAGAATATTATTTTTTTTACATTCAATTTTTTAATAAAAATAATTTCTATTAAAAATTCTATTTAAATAATATTAAGACCCCATACTAAATTCACACATTTTAATATTTCCTAAATCTTGAACAATCTTAATGTTGTCTAGATAATAGTGATTATAATCACCTGTTGCAATAATTTGATCATTGGCTATATGACAAAGTTCTAACCAAGTTGGTGAATGTAATAGTTTAGAAATATAAGGATTTCCATCTCCTTGATTAATAATAAAAATATTTCCTTCAATCGGACTTTCATTTAGATTATATCTAACATTCTCAGAATTTTCAAAATATTCTAAAGCACAAAATTTCACATAACTTTTATTTTTTTTTATACTTTTTTTTATATCATTTTGCATTAATTTCAAAAAATTAAAATATTTTAGTCTATATTGATTAATTGGTATACCCTTGTATTTTTTATTAAGTCTACAAGGTACAATTGTTTGATCTATATCATTTTTTGATGACGAATAGTTTTCAAATGAGCAGACCAACTTTTGGAACCAATTGTTAAATTACATTTATCACAAGTTTTGGCAGGATATATTTTTTTATTTAATACATCCATTTTATTGTAAGTACCAATTTCTTTAATTAAAGATTTAATTTTATTTAATCCATCCATTCTTTATTATATTCTTTATTATTATTTTTTACATTCATTTTTTTAATGGAATAGTTTCTATTAAAAATATCATTTAAATAATATTAAAGATTTTAGGTTATAGTGAATATACAGAAAGTTTAAAAAAAAGTTTTACAAATAATATTCCTAATAAGTATAAGAACGATGCCCATGAAATATCAAGATAAAGTATCAATTTATTTTAGAAGGAGGTTTATATAGATAGCACTTCCTTTAACTTAGGACATACTATTAAAATTTTGTTTTTTGTAACTCTTGGTTATAAAAACTCCCTATAACATCTTCATTATTCAAATCTATAATTTTATAGGTAATAGGATTTGTGTTTAAAATTTCATTAACTATAAATATTTCTTTTGTCCAATTATTAATAAATTTATTACCAAATGTTTTTTTAGAAGCTGTTATTCTTACTCTACTACACTAAATTTAATTTTTGGTTTAGGTTTGTTTTTTGTAGAAAACAATTTGTGAAAAACAACATCTTCGTTAGATTTATTTACTTCACAAGGTCTCATACCAATAGATCGAAGTATGTCTTTGAAATTATATTCATATATTAAACTTTGTAAAATTTTAATCCATTTTTTAGAATTTGTAACTACAAATTGTAATCTCATTTTACTGTTTAACCCACCTTGCAAAGAACTGTTACGATTATATAAAAGGAATATTCCTAAGGAACATTGAAACGTTCCTACGGAACTTCCATTAGAGTTCCAAAAACATTCTGATAACGCAATATGCCGTGTTGTTTGAAACAATGAATAAAACATAACTGTACTGTATGTTACATTCATATTCCATTTATGGTTTTGTGGAACATAATTTTAACGTTTTTGTACAACATAACTGATTTGTAAGTTAAGTTTATATTCCATTTATGGTACTCAGGAACATAATATTAATATTACTACAAATTGTTCCAGTTATATTTTTTTTTGGCTTTTGTAAATAGATTAAAATGTTATATTCCCGTTATGTTGTTTAACAATTTCATGGATATACCCATGAAACTATGTATAAGTGTACATAACTTACCAAGGAAAAGATAGAATATATATATATATATATTATGTATTATATATAAACCATATTAATATATATATATTATATTCTACTTATCCTTTAAAAATTGTATTTAACTAGGTAGGTATAGAAATAAATACAAAATAATATAAGATTTCCAAAAGCTTATATTTAATAATAAAAACAAATTGTTTAACAATTAATAGATAACTCACATTTTTTATATACCTATTCAAAAGTAATATATTTTTATTCTTGCTATCAGATGGAATTAAAAAAAAATTATAATACAAAAAGTAGTATGATACTACAATAAATAACAATAAAACAAACATACATAAGTTCTAGTATTAATTAATTGATACAAGAGATAATATTAGTTATGGCATGGTAAGTAAAAAACATATTATATTGGTCTTACAAGTATATTATATTATAAATAAAATATACATTTTATATAGAAATATTATTATACGGTTCTTATAAACA